GCTCAACTGATAAGCCCCCCTGAAAAAAAAAAAAAAAAAAACCGAGGTTTTCAGTTTTCCTCTCTGCCGCACAGCTCATGTACACACCCACCTCCAAGTTCAATAAGCACGAAGACCGTGAGAAGGAGAGCGATTGGGCTGCCCTCCACCCTTGGGGCCCACAGGTCTTCTGATCAAAGACAAAGCTCCTCGCAGAAGCTGACGCCCGCTCAGTGACCACTGTCCTCGCCACAGGAATGCTGGGAGTGCCGAATGGTCTCCTTCGAATTCTGGTCTCCTCCTACATCTGGGGCTAGCGTTACTTTGACAGGGCCCCAGATGACCACAACATGGCTTGGTCGTATGTAATGGGAGTAACAGTGTGAAGTGTGTTGACTGCATTTAAATTGAACAATTCCAAACCTATTTTATCTCCAGTGATTATAGCCCTGGTGGATATATTCTCAAATGGTCTCCCTGAGACTACCCAGGGAAAATTCTGACTGAAAGCTTCATATTCATAATTTTATCTAATCATTTTGTCTCAATTTTTAACCATAATTTAAACATACAGAAAAGTTTTAAAGATAACAATGAACATCTACATCCACCACAAAGATTCAGTAACGGTTCGCTTATTTTTCACACATTTATTTGGAATAATGCCACAGACATCATGACTTTTCAGACTTAAAACTTCTGCATGCATCTCCTAAGGACGTCACTGTAACACATCAATACCACTGCCACTGCTAGGAAAATTACACACGTTAACTAACACCACTTTGTCTTCCTGTTCCCCAAATACCCCCCAAATGGCTTACAGCTGGTTGTTTGATTTCTTCTGAATTAGAAGCCAGGACAGGATACTTTGCGGGACCAGCAGCTTGTGTAATGGCTATGTCAGTGGACTCCCAAGTAGTCGACCGCGGTTTGAGTCCTGGACCCAGCAGCTTAAAACTCACTTAAAATTCATGCGTGCATTCCCAAAATCCCAAGAAGAGAGTGGAGAAGGGATGGCAGAGTGGTTATTCCCCCTGGGGAGTGATTTCTCGCTTTCTGTCTCTGTCTCTCAGGCGAGTGCATGTGTTCTATAGCAAAAATCCCTCAAAAAATGAAAAAGGATATTTTGTATTTGATCATGACTCTTGAGCATGTTAATATAGAGGAATCCATTTTTTGTTTTATTTCATTGGCTTTTTGCAAAGTCCAGACCTGCTGTCTTGTACAATGTCCCAAACTCTGGATTTGTCGTTTTGCTCACTGTATAATTCACTTGTTCCTCTACTCTTGATTTCTTGCAAACCAGCAGTAAGTCTGCACACGAGATTCCATCAGTTTTTGGTAACTGGGGCAATACATCAGAGATGGTCACATCTGCTTCATACCGCATCTCACCAGGGGCCGCACGCCAGCTGGTCCCCCAACCCGAAGCTGCTGGCAGCCAGACTGCATCGCACAGCGGAGTCTTCTGCAATGACACTGTGCTGGTTGGCACTGTGTAAACAACGTGACTTGAAAAAACTCTTTTTTCACCTAATAGGTCTTACCGTTCATTGACTTTTGCCAGATTTACAATAAGGGCTGAAAATGCTGATTTTTCTAAATCTTTCTGCGTATATTTACCAGGTGACACTCTTGAAGTCATTTCACAAAGAGCTTTACTCTCCTATTTTTCATCATTATATTTTCTTCTTACTGTGTTATAACCAACCGCAGTGATTACTCTTTTTCATGTTTAGATTATCCCAAACTTGGTCAGTGGTGGTACCTTCCAGTTGGCTCCTGTCTCCTGACATTACCCTATCAGTATTCAAACGCTATCTTGCTTTGTTTTTTGGGGAGTTTTTTTGTCCCCCCCCCCAAAAAAAATCCAGGCATACTTTACACTTCCCCTATTGCAAACATGGAATCAGCCATTTCTCCAAGCATCCCTCGTTACTTTTAGTGGGAAATGGCATTTAGAAACCAAAATGTGAATCCGAAGCATGGTCACTGCTGGTGAATACAAGGTGAAACACGGAGATCTGTTTAAAAGCCTCGTTTTCTTTACAAATATACTTACCTACATAAAAGGACTCTTCTTGATAAGCTGAAACAAGTCAATTAAGAAGTGTATTATACTGAAAGCTTGAGCTTATTTAATTATAAAACTCTTCTCAGACAGAAAGGTACTTGAACTAGAACGATTTTTTAAATGACAACAACTGTGAAAGAAATATAAGATTGGAGGGAAAGGCCTGGGGAAAGATGAAATGTTAATATGATGAGTAGAATGTTTAATAATACAACATTTATATATCACTTTGCAGAAAAAAATTCCTACAATATGTGTTTAAAAAAAAAAAAAAAAAGGCAGCATTATACGTGAAACCTCCCAAAAGCAATTACTCTCTTGACCTCGTCTGAGTTTAAGGATTTAAGTACAGCTATTACAAAAGTGGGTATTATTAGGGGCTCATGAGAAAAGTGAGTATGACCATAAGTCAATTATTAGGATTAAATTGAGGGAAAATCCTTTAAAGATAAAAATATAGCTAGATGACTGCAAGTACATGTAAACAGATTACAAAACAAATAGTACTCTTAGAACTTAAGGCTAGAAATCAGTCAATAATTATCGAAGGGCACAGAGCTGAAGACCTAGATTCTGGTCTTGGCCCACTAAGAGCAAATTCCCACTAGTAAAAACAAGAAAGGCTATCTATTGTTAAACTAAAATCTCCCAACCCTAATGAGCTGCTAGCTACCTGTCTAGGATTCTGTCAAATAAATACCTTCGGCAACAGAAAAGTATTTGCATGGGACCAGCAGATGGCGAAATGGTTATGCTGCTGAGTTCCCATGTAGTCAACCATGGTTCAAGTCCTAGACCCGGTGACTTAAAACTCACACTGGGCGCATGTGTGTGCATGCCCAAGATCCCGAGAAAAAGGCATTGTGGCACGGTCATCTCTCCTGGGGGGGTGGGTAATTTCTCGATTTCTGTCTCTCCATCTCTGTGGTGTGAGTACGCGTGCCGTATAGCAAAAATCTCTCTCTCAAAAAAAAGCATTGGCACGACAACCTTTCCATTTGCTTACATTTATCCTACCTTCCCCAGTAATATAGTAAGACTGTTTACTTACACAGAACCACAGTAAATTAACAAATAATATAGGGAAGTAAGAGAGTCTCCATTCAGGCAAAACTTCAACTTTAGGCCTAGTTGCTGTGGCACCAAGAGAACCCAAGTGCCCAGCAAGGCTGGAGGCCATATGGCCCACCATGGGTTCAGATCCCGCATCAGCGTGGGTACATGCGTGGGCGCCCAGGATCCTGAGGAGCTGGAAGGGTGAGGAAAAGGCTCTTGGTGTGACTGCCGAGGGCTTCACCCTCTCCCTCACGTGCACACACAGGCATGTACAGACACTGCTGTTCATTCTTTTCTATTTAAAAAGCAAATTCTAAATTAATAGAACCACAGTTTTTAATCACCAAGGATTTCTGAAAAACTGTTTTTCAGAATGAATGTCTATACGCATATATGCGCCCATGTGCGATGAGGCGGCTCAGAAGAAGAGCTTTATCGTTGCCATGTGAGAGTTCCGTTTAAAGAATTCCTTTTCAGCTTTAGCTTCTCTATGACAAGGAGAGCTAGCGTGTCAGCTGCCACTTAGAAAATAAGGCCCCCACGTACTGCCATTAATGACAGCTTGATTCTCACATGGACGTTTACTTAAAAACGGAATACGGTCTAATAAGAGAAACAAAATTGATATGCAACTGTTTTTAGGCTTTTTAAAAGTTAAGCCTTTTACATTTTTTCTAAGAAGTTAAAAAAGTAGTTATAGGTTTTTAGAAACTTAAGAATTTAATGGTTCTTACAAAGTTTGGTGTCCATGTTCTTCAGTTTCATGGGTCGATTTTACCATGACTCAGTGGTAACGATAACACTTCCTCCAGGAGCAAAAGGAATGGACTCTCCCAGGAGTCTGTGCCTGCTTACTACCCTTCTGTTCAGGCTCCAACGCCAAGTCCCACATGATTTGGGAGACGAATTAAAACTCGGAGGACTTACCTCCTCAAAGAAATCTCTGGTACGGAGTAAGAGCAGAGCTGTAGATGAAAGGTTTCCCATATTCCTTCCATTTATAGAGCTTTTCTTTGTTGTGAACTTTTTTGTGTCTGCACAGGTTGGACCTGTAGCTGTAAGCTTTGCCGCATTCCATACACTTGTAGAGCTTCTCTCCAGTGTGGATCCTCTCGTGCTCCGTCAGGAAGGAGTACTGGCTGAAAGCTTTCCCACACTGGTTACACTGGTAGGGCTTCTCTCCAGTGTGGATCCGCTGATGCCTGTAAAGGTTAGACTTGCAGCCAAAGGCCTTCCCGCACTCCTCACACCGGTAAAGCTTCTCCCCAGTGTGGATTTTCCGATGCTCACTGAAGGATGAGTACTGGTTGAAGGCTTTCCCACATTCGTTACACTGATAGGGCTTTTGGCCGGTGTGAATTCGCTGATGTTCAACAAGGGCTGAAATGCGTGTGAAAGTTCTCCCGCATTCTAGGCACTTGCACAGCTGCTCTCCAGTATGGAGCCTCTGATGCCCAGCCAGGGATGTGAGCTGGCTATAACCTTTCCCACACTCACCACACTTGTAGGGCTTCTCACCTGTGTGGATTCTCTGGTGCCGATGAAGCTTCGCTCTACAGTTGAAGGCCTTCTCACACTCGCCGCACTTATAGAGCTTCTCTCCAGTATGAATTCTCTGATGCACAGTGAGGGTTGAACACTGGCTGAAGGCTTTGCCGCATTCCCTACAGCGATATGGCTTCTCTCCAGTGTGCACTCTCAGGTGTTTGATAAGGGTCGAACTGCTACTAAAAGCTTTCTCACACTCGCTGCATTTGTACGGTTTCTCTCCAGTATGAATTCTCTGATGGGCAAGAAGGGACGACCTGTGGCTGAAGGTCTTCCCACATTCACTGCACTTGTAGGGTTTCTCTCCAGTATGAATTCTCTGGTGTTCAATAAGATAGAGACTCTGGCGGAATGTCTTTCCGCATTCACTACACATGTGAGGTTTTTCTCCTGGGTAAATTTGGAAGCATCTCATCAGATCAAAATTCTGTTTAAAATCCTTCTCAAAAGTGTAATACATATTGGGTACCCTTTCCATAGGAATACTCTGTTGTGTAACAAGAACTGTATTTATAAATAAGCCTTTCCCCACGTCAAGACTTACGTGGTTCCCATCCCTACCGCTGGTTTTCTCGTGTGAGACCGTCTGCCTGGTAGGCTTCCTCTGCTGCTCCTGTTCCATCCTGCTCTCAAATGCTACAGCTTCTCCAAAGTTGATGTCCCAGAAAGCATGCTTAATGGATTTTTCCTTTATCATTCCCCAAGATGTTTCTTCTATAAAAATATCCTGGCTAGGAGGTAATACTTCTACTTCAGGCCGAGTCTTTAACCCTAAAATGAATCAGAAGAATTACTGCCTCCCCTGCTGGATGAAATGAGCAGATGCCCTTGTGTCCCTCAGCCGCACAACGGCAGCAATACATGTGAAGAGGCTGAACCCGCTAAGGGGAAATGAACACCCAACACAAAGACTGGAACTGGGAGAGCACAGGCTGAGCTGGCAGTGTGAGGACACAGGAGATGTCAGGTGATGAGCTCACGCGGATTCCCGGGGACCAGAACCTCCGTCAGCGCAGAGAAGCCGGCCACTCGCCATGCCCTCCTTCCTACTGGCATGCCCTTTCGTTAGACTGTTCACTCTCAGAAACCCTTGAAACAGCCATTTAAAGGGATGTGGACTGTTCGTTCTCAAATCCTGTCATTTCCCACGTGGCTGATTTCATGGGGCAGAGTGTGTGTGTGTGTGTGTGTGTGTGTGTGAGGGGGGTGGCATGCTAAGAGGACATTCAGGTTCTACAAATAACTAGCCCAGAAGTAAGACCGCGTTGATGATACCGGATCTATCTGAGTCCAGGTGCTGTTCATGAAGAAGGGAAGACGTGGAGCGAATGGGCCACGGGCAGCGCGCCCTGCGACGGGAGAACCAGCTCCCAGACCTCCTTTCCATCCCTCTTGCCCTTCCTATTTGACCATGAGGACAAACAGATGTCTATGCTTTTTAATAAGCTGCAACCAGAAGGCTGCACTCTCTCTGTAATTTTGAGGACAACGAAAATCTCAAGAGCCCTGAAGTCAGTGTGTCGAAGCTCTGACATGTGCCCAAGTCCCGAGCTCAGCTCGAATCCTGGTGAAGGTAGCCTGAGCTGATTCGGAGACACTCTGAGTTCAAACCGGCTTTCTTCCCTCAGTCTGCGATAGAGAACAGATTAAAGTGATGTGTCCTGAAATAAACTATACAACTTAACAAGACATACTGCGACCGGCCCTGAACATCTCAGCAAGGCCTAATATTGCCAAGGAAGCTCCCAGGGCCTGCTTCCTTGTGACCTGCTCGTCCATGAAGATGCACTGTGCCCATCACTGCGTCTCTCACTCACCTGGACAGGTGTCTGGAGGGACATCTCTCTCCACCACACAGGGATCTTCTCCTTGCTGCAACTGGCAGATCACCTTTGGCTTTGAAGATGGAATTCCTGTTCATAGGAAGGAAATGGAGTTTGAACTAACAGCATGAAGAACAATCCCAGAATGTACACCCCACTCTGAACCTAAAAAGCAGAGAAAATAAGCTTTGGGAGGGAAAGTGGGCACATCTGAGGGGACCTGGAGCTTCAGAGGGTAGTCAGGAGGCAGGTGGCAGTTCAGAACAATATAACGCCCTCTAAGACGAGGTTCCCCACGTTTCTCACCATCTAAACTACATGAGTCACAGACCTATTCCCAGAAGTAAGCTTTGATTGGGGTTGGAGTGTGAGGACGTAGGAAATAACCGCTGCAGTGTGAATGCCCCCTCCTGACTCATGTTGAAACTTAAGTGCCGCTATGAGGGCACTGGGAGGTGGGGATGTATGCTCCAACTCCACAGTAATTCGACCCTTCCCAGGACAGCAGGGTAGACAACACTCTAAACCCAAAGAAGGAACTCTAAGCTGTTTCTATGACATATTCCTCATTATAGGCAAAACTCCTCACCCAGCGAGACCAGGTTGCTGTAGTTCTCCAGCATCACCTCCCGGTACAAGGTCCTCTGGGCCGCGTCCAGGTGCAGCCACTCGTCCTGGCTGAAGAGCACAGCCACATCCCAGAATGTCACTGATCCCTGGAACGGCAAACCCATTCCTGTTCATCCAGAAGCAACATTTTCTTTTTATTAATTTAAATTTATTTATTTATATTCATTCACTGTACATCATTACAGCAGACAAAATGAGATTTCCCATCCAGAGTACACTGTATATCGGCTCAGTCAAGCACATCAACATATGCATTATCGTCAACAAATGAAAATTTCCATTTCTTGTTTCCTGTATATTTTGTCATTTTTGCCATCCTTGATTCCCTATCTCTCACCCTCTGCCGTGTCCCACCCTTCTCCCACACTGTCTCTGGTATCCATGGTTGCTTTCTATGCCTTTTCCCCCAATTTTATTTATTCGCTAATGAACTTAATTAACCTAAATATTTCCAATAGCAAGCATGGCTGATATATACATATCCATGAACACAAGTCTGACCTTAGGCATAAGCCTCAGTGGGTAGAATGAACATACTATAAAGTAGCACCTAGCTGGGGCTATATAGCTTACTGCAGTCATCAAATATGCATTTTTTTAATTTCAAAAAAATAGTTTTTGAGGGACCAGCAGGCGGCATGGTGGTTAAGGCGCTGGACACTCCCACATGGCCGACCACAGTTCAAGTCCTGGACGTGGTGGCTTGCTTTCTCACTTTCGCTCTACCTCTCTTTCTCTGGCTCTCTCTGATCAAATTAAAATAAATGAACAGATAAATAAAATTTAAAATAAATCATTAAAAAAATAGTTTTCGTGTTTTTTTCCTCCTGAAACTTTTTTAATTAATTTACATTCATCCCCTAATCATCGTCACAGCATACAAAAAGTGGTTTCCCACCCAGAATATACTGCATAGTGGCTTAATCATGTATGTTATCATTAATAATTTTCCATTTCTAGTTTCACACACACACATACACATTTATATGTATATTTACCCCTATGTCTGACCCTCTGCCCTTTCCCACCCTCTTCTCACACTATCTCTGGTGTCTACAGTTGTCTT